GTGAGTGGACTGCCTGAGCCCGTGGGTTCGAGACCCACCTGGGCAGGCAAGACCTCATCTCTACAATAAATCAAAAATCAGCCAGCCATGGTAGCGTGCGCCTGTAGTTCCAGCTACTTGGAAGGTTGAGGTGGAAGGATCGCCGGAGCCCAGCAGGTCGAGGCTGCGGTAGCCGGGAGTAGCCACTGCACTCTAGTCTGGGCGACAGTGAGACTCCAACTCAAAAAAAAAAAAAAAAAAAAAAGGAATCACTATGAATAAATATATGCCAACAAATGAGATCGCTTACATGAAATGTACTAATTCCTAAAAAGACAAAAGCTACTGAAAGTAGCTTTTGCGGAGGTGCACACCTGTAGTCCCAGCTAATCAGTAGGCCTAGGAATACTTGAGCCCAGGAGTTTGAGTCAAGCCTAGGCAACATAGTGAGATGCTGTTTCTAAAAAACAAAACAAAACCACTGAAACTGACTCAAGAAGAAATAGAAAATCTGATTATACCTATAAAAAGAGATTGAATTTGTAATTTTTTTTTTTTTTTGAGTTGGAGTCTCACTCTCGCTCAGGTTGGAAGGCAGTGGCATACTCACAGTCACCCCAGCATTGACTTGATGGGCTCTGGCCATCCTTCCGCCTCAGCCTTTCAAGTAACTGGAACTATAGGCATGCACTACCACGACTGGCTAATTTTTTATTTTTAATGTGGAGAGGAGGTCTCACTAAGGTGCCCAGGCTGGTCTCAAACCTGTGGGTTCAGTCAACCCACCTGCCTCAGCCTCCCAAAGTGCTGGGATTACAGGCTGAGCTACCGAGCCTGGCCGAATTTATAATTTTTAAAAACTCTGTGGGCAACCCCTTAGGGTCTCCTCCCACTGTGGGAGCTTTTCTGCTCTTTCAATAAATCATGCTTTTAAAAAAAAGAAAAAAAAAACAAAAACTCTGTTACCCAGGCTGGAGGGCAGTGGCGTGGATCACGCCTCGACCAGTAATGATGACACTGTATGTCCACCCAGCAAGTGGTGGCATCCTGAGCACAGTGTTCTTGTAGTAGTATTTTAGTCAAGCCTTACTTTGTTTTCCAGTCTACCTAGAATCTTCCGGATTCCCTGAGTTCCTCGATACTCTCTAGAAAATCCCTTTTCTGTTTGAGGAAACTAGAATCAGGTTCTATTATATGCAACCAAGAACTCTAACTAGAACATCTATTAACTTAATAAAAATTGCTTTTTGTGTTTTGCTGTCACCCTGACAAAAACATAAACTCTAGTCTGTTTTGTTCACCATTGGTATCACCAGTGCCTACCACAGTGTCTAACACTTAATAGTTATTTAATTATTATTTTTAAATGAACAAATGAATGAGAAATCACTAAGGTGACAACAATCTCCAAGGAATTCACTGCTTTATAAGGTATCTATTTCTTTCTTTTTCGAGTCAGAGTCTAACTCTTGTCACCCACACTGGAATACAATCGTATGCTTAAGGCCAATGCAGCCTCTACCTGCTGAGCTCAAGCGACCATTCTACCTCAGCCTTCCAAGTAGCTGGAACCACAGATGCGGCCATCACAACCCCAGCTAACTTTTCTTTTCTTTTTTTTTTTTTGAGTTGGAGTCTCACTCCATCCCTCAGGCTGGAGTGGAGTACACTGGCACACTCACGGCCACCCCAGAGTCGACCTGCTGGGCTCCAGCGACCCTTCTACCTCAGCCTTCCAATTAGCCAGAATTACAGGTGCGTGCTACCATGCCTGACTAGTTTTCAATTTATTGTAGAGATGAGGTCTCACCAAGTTGCCCGAGCTGGTCTCTAACCCGCAAGCTCAGGCAATCCACTCGCCTTGGCCTGCCAAAGTGCTGTGATTACAAGCTAAACCACCAAGCCTGGCCCTAACTTTTCTTGATTTATTGTAGACATGAGGTCTCCCCAAGTTGCCTAGGCCAGTCTCAAACCCCTGGGCTCCTCTCGCCTCTGCCTTCCAAAGTGCTGGGATTTACAGGTGTGAGCCACCACACCCAGCTATCTATTTCTATTTAGCAAAGAAGTAAATCAATAACAACAACAAAAAAAATCCCTATTCCTTTTTTTTTTTTTTGAGTCAAGTTCACCCAGGCTGGAGTGCAGTGATATAATCATGGTTCACTGCAGCCTTGACCTCCTGGGCTCAAGAGATATTCCTGGCTCAGCCTCCCAAGTAGCTGGGACTACAGGTACATGCCACCATGCCCAGCTAATTTTTTTTTTTGGTAGAGGCCAGGTCTTAACTATGTTGCCCAGGCTGGTCTTGAATACCTGGGCTCAAACAATCCTCCTGCCTCTGCCTCCCAAAGTGCTAGAATTATAAGTATGAACCACTGCTCCCGACCTCAGTCGGTTTTGTTTTGTTTTTTTTTTTGAGTTGGAGTCTCACTCTGTTGCTCAGACTGGAGTGCAGTGGCCGTTCCCGGCCACCGCAACCTCGCCTGCTAGGCTCCGGCGATCCTTCCGCCTCAGCCTTCCAAGTAGCTGGAACTACAGGCGCGTATACCACACCCGGCTAATTTTTTTTTTTTGATTTATTGTAGAGATGAGGTCTCGCCAAGTTGCCCAGGCGGGTCTTGAACCCACGAGCTTAGGCAATCCACTCACCTCAGCCTCCCAAAGGCACGGGATTACAGGCTGAGCCACCGAGCCTGGCTCTCAGTCTGTTTTAAATACACTGTGTATAATGTCTATGTTACACAATCAGAATGATGTTTGAGACTACGAAATATCTTCAATCAGAGAAAGATTCAGTTATGTTCATTGTACTGTACTTATAATTTCATAAAGGCAGATCTACACACATTTTAGACAAGTTTTCAAGTATAAAATTGAAAAGAAAAATATTTTCTTTTTAACTAACCTTAAATTTAACTTACTAAGTTACAACACCAGTTGAGATTTGACAATATTAACTACATCCTACAAATGTAGAGAGTAACATATTTTGTAAAAGCAATGCTAAATGTTCGTTTTATGTTCTTTTTTTTCAGAAGCCCTAGCGACCTGTTACCTACACTATCTCTAACTTGCTCTTTTTCCACAGATCTACTTTCCACTATCAATAAATCCTCAAAACTATTTATGTTTCAGGAAAGTCACTGTCAATTCTCCAACACCTGTCCTGCCCTTTTCAGATTATATCTTGGTTCTGTTATTTTCCCAGAAACCAATGAAGTTTAAATAAAATAGGATTTAATATTGTCATAGAACTGTAGCTTTCAAACTTTAGTGTATTTCAGAGTCACCAAGG